GACCAAATAGGCTTCATCCTGGGGATGCAAGGCTGGTTCAACATAAGCAAATCCATAAATGTAATCCATCACATAAACGGAAGTAAAGACAAAAACCACATGATTATCTCAATAGAGGCAGAGAAGGCCTTCGATAAAATTCAACAGCCCTTCATGCTAAAAACTCTCACTTAACTAGGTATTAATGGAACTTATCATAAAATGATAAAAGGTATATATGACAAACCTACAGCCAATATCATACTGAATGGGCAAAAGCTGGAAGAATTCCCTTTGAAATCCGGCACTAGACAAGGATGCCCTCTCTCACCATTCCTATTCAACATAGTATTGGAAGTCCTAGCCAGAGCAATCAGGCAAGAAAAAGAAATAAAGGGTATTCACATAGGAAAGGAGGAAGTCAAACTGTCTCTATTTGCAGATAACATGATTGTATATCTAGAAGACCCCATCGTCTCAGCCCAAAATCTTCTCAAACTGATAAGCAATTTCAGCAAAGTCTCAGGATACAAAATCAATGTCCAATTTTTAAATAATATTTAATATTTTAAAAATTATTTATTGATGTTGATGGAGTATAAATTATCTTTATGCTAATATTGTGTTTAGTAATGTGTTGATTTTTCATGTTAGGTCCAATTGCTTGCCTGTATTTTATCTCAGACTCTATGAAGGTAGTCAATTTCTGTGAATAGTGATTGTTTTGTTTTTATATGCCTTCCTTTTCCTGTCTTACTGTTCAACTAGAATGCCCAAATAATGATTGGCTAGAAATAATAACTGTAGGCATTTCGTCTTGTTCCTCATATGAAAGGAAGTAACTCTAAATATTTACCACTAAATATGATGTTTGCTACAAGTTTCTGATAGACATATGAAGGAAATTTGCCTCAATTTGTATCTCCTGATGTTTTTTTTAACATGAAAGAATATTAAATTTTCACAAATAATTTTTCTGCCTCTGTTGAAGTAATCATGTGCTTTTTCTCTTGTAATTTGTTAATGTGGTAAATTGTATTAATAGATTTTTCTAATATTAAATCATCCTTGCTTTCCTGGGAACTTAACCTAGTTATAGTGTATTACTATGCATTACATGGTATAGTATGTTTTTGTTTTTAAACAAAATATAGAGTATTTTCATTTTTAAAGTTACCAATTTTGCTGAATTTTATTAGAATTTACAAATTTATATTTAGAAGTGAAGTTGGCTTACAATTTTTTTTTTTTTTTTTGAGACGAAATTTCATTCTTGTTGCCCAGGCTGGGGTGCAATGGCACGATCTCAGCTCACTGCAACCTCTGCCTCCCAGGTTCAAGTGATTCTTCTGCTTCAGCCTCCCAAGTAGCTAGGATTACAGGCATGTGCCACCATGCCCAGCTAATTTTGTAGTTTTAGTAGAGACAGGGTTTCTCTATGTTGGTCAGGCTGGTCTAGAACTCCCAACCTCAGGTGATCCACCTGCCTCGGCCTCCCAAAGTGCTGGGATTACAGGTGTGAGTCACTGTGCCCGGCCTAAAATTTTCTTTACTGTCCTTGTCTTATTTTGGATTCAAGTTTATGTCAGTCTAATAAAATGAACTTTAGGGTACTCCTTCATTTTGTAATCTTGTTATAGTCTCTGGAAGAGTTTATATAAGATTGGGATTATATAGTCCTTGAAACTTTGGTAAGAATCACCTGTAAAAAATTATCTGTGGCCAGGTGCAGTGGCTCACACCTGAAATCCCAGAACTTTGGGAGGCTGAGGCAGGAGGATCACTTAAGGTCAGGAGTTTTGAGACCAACCTGGCCAATATGGTGAAACCTCGTCTGTACTAAAAATACAAAAGTTAACCAGGCCTGGTGGTGGGTACCTGTAATCCCAGCTACTTGGGAGGGTGAGGCAGGAGAATTGCTCGAACCCAGGAAGCAGAAGTTGCAGTGAGCCAAGGCTCTGTCTTAAAAAAAAAATTATTTGTATGTGATTTCATAATATAGGTAGATATAATCATTGATGTAATATCTTTCAAGATCATGGAATTTAGGTTATTTCTTCTTAAGTTTATATTGATTATTGTTTTCTAGAAGTTAACCATTTTGCATGTCTTCTGAATTAATTGACACAAAGTCATACCTTATTGTCTCTTGTTACCTGTTTTAATTTCTGGTATATTTATGGTTATATTTCTTTCCAATTCACAATTTCAATATTGCTTTGAATATCTTTGGTATGTAACATCATGCTTAAACTGGCTGTAACAAAGCCCAGTTTTAAATAGTTTTAATAACCAATTCTTCCAATAACCCAGAGTTGTGCAGAGGAATAGAAACAGAAATACCACTAAAATGACTTCTCTATAACTGCTGTCTACTGTCCCTAATTCTTCCCTGGGGAGTCACATAGCCTCAAATGTGTACTTCTACAAACTCCTTAGAAATTGTTGCTCTTATGTAAATCCAAAGTGGCAGTGTTTTGTTCCCTCCATTCAAAAAACAAGAGACAATACATCTCCCTCCTGAAAGACAACTTTTGCAGCTTAAGGAGCCTCAGTTTTTCTGAAAGTTACTAAAACACCCTGTATTCCCTTTCTGATGATCTGTCCCGAGATGTCAGCATCTGGAACTGAGTCCTTTAGTCCACGTGTAGTCTGGCCAACACGAGGAGAATGAGTCTCAGACTATCCTCTCACTGGACCATTCCCTTCACACTTCCTAAAATACATTTCCTGCTTGCTCGTCACACTGTTGACTCATGTTAATTTTGCAGTCAACCAAACATTTGAGTCTTTTTCACATATGCTGTTGAGGAATCTTTATCCACAAGTAATAAAAGAAGACTCCATTATATAACTCCCTAGTCTACAGACTTCCAGAGAGAATGTAAAGCATGTTTGGGTCATGAGCAAAGCAATGAGAGAAAAAGTTGAGGGTGAAGTAGTTTTCACCCTCCTTCAATTTCAGACAGTAGTATCCTCAGCATTAGAGAGGAGTTCTTTCTTTATAAAGGAAGGCACATCAGCTGGGCTATACCATAGTCCAATTTCCAAGTACAGGGAAGGAAAAAGAATTCCCATTTACTGAGTACCGACTGGGTGCCAAGTCTATGTTAGGTGCTTTATGTGTGTTTATCTCAGTCTTCATGCTGATAACAGCACTGGGTCAAGGTGCAATGTAAATAAAGAAGGATGCAAATAAATGCCAGGTAAAGTTATTCCCATCTTATGTATGAGGAAACAGAAATTCACAGCATGACTTGCCCCAAATGATACAACTAAAAAGTAATGAGGCCTTGTTCGACTTCTACACTCTCAGCCAGGAATGAATGAATGCAGGTAGCCAGGAGGCAGCAGGCAACAAGGGCAATTGTGTGATGCTTTGTCATTTAATGAAGGACAGAATTTTCACCTACATTAACTCTTTTGTATCACCTGCTCCACCTACCATAAGAAGCTAATTCTTACAACAGCCTCTTATAGTAGGTGGAGCAGGTGATATAATCTTTATTTTACAGGTAAAGATAACAGGGCTCAGAGAATTGAGGGATCTACCCAAGGTCGCCCAGCTAGCCAGTGGTAGAGACACTTTGATCCTGGGCTTTCTGACAGCAAACACCTTTTTAGGCAGCAGGTATGGGACAAGGAGAACAGCAGGGACCTGGGGCAGGGATTGACAGATCATCGTGGACACGGGGAAAGAAAGTCCAAAACCCCTCACCAATTCACAATTTCAATATTGCTTTGAATAAATCTTTTGTATGTAACATCATGCTGAAACTGGCTGTAACAAAGCCCAGTTTTAAACAGTTTTAATAACCAATTCTTCCAATAACCCAGAGTTGTGCAGAGGAATAGAAACAGAAATACCACTAAAATGACCTCTCTATAACTTCTGCCTATTGTCCCTAATTCTTCCCTGGGGAGTCACATAACCTCAAATGTGTACTTCTACAAACTCCTTAGAAATTGTTGCTCTAATGTAAATCCAAGAAAATGTAATACTCTGCTATTTATTTTTTTAAAATCTTCTTAATCCTTCAAGATGCACAGAAGAAAGCAAGCCCAGTGTATTAGTCTGTTCTCATGCTGCTAATAAAAACATACCCGAGGCTGGGTAATTTATAAAGGAAAGAGTTTTAATGGACTTACAGTTCCACGTGGCTGGGGAGGCCTCACAATCACAGTCTAAGGTGAAGGAGAAGCAAAGGCACGGCTTACATGGTGGTGGGAAAGAGAGCGTGTGCAGAGGAGCTCCCCTTTATAAAACCATCAGATCTCGTGAGACTTATTCACTATCACGAGAGCAGTGTGGGAAAGACCCGCCCCCATGATTCAATTACCTCCCACAGGGTCCTTCCCACAACACATAGGAATTACGGGAGCTACAATTCAAGATGAGATTTAGGTGCGGACACAAGCATATCACCCAGGTTGATGACAGAAGCAGCTGAGGTGCCTAGGACAGAACACATCACTGCGTCTGCCCCAAGCATTTCTCCTGGAAATGCATCCAGGATAGCAAGGTGGTCTTGTGCTAGCAAGGACATTAGTGCAATAGATTCTTAGGCAGATGGAGGCTGTAAACCAGAGCCTGGTGAACTTACAGATCTTTGGTTTGTTTGGCAAAACCAGAATCTTAAAAAAAAAAAAACAACAAAAAAACCACTCTAATGAACAAATGTGTTCATCTTACAATCTGCTGAAGACATGTAGATTTAACATCAGTCAAGTAGCCTTAGAACAATCATTTTCCCAGCTATTTAAACTCCACTTAAGTCAAGCACCAGCTTATTCCAGGCTAGGCTTTGCCTGTTAATTAACAATTCAGCTGCTGGTTACTAGTTCCCACAGGGCCTCAAGTGAGACCAAATCCCTCCAGCTGGGAGGTCCTCTTTTTCTGCAGCACCACTAATTCAGAGCTATTGCCCATCCCAAGCCTGGGTGAGAAACTGTTCCTCTGAAGCCCCCTTAGTTGTTCCAGGGATCCTAGAGCCCTCAACATTCAAGCCAGCATTCATTACCTGTCAACAGGTGGTAGATATGTAGTTTTATGGCTGTACCCAAGTTCCTCTGAGTTTTGTTTTTTCAACCAAGACCTTCAGAAATCCATACTTCCTATAGAGGATTTAAGAAATAGAAAAAAATGAAATTAAAATAAAAAGACAAAAGACATTAAGAAATTAGAAGCAGAAGCAAAACTTCTCCAGTATTTTCCAAGCCTGGTTGTGGATCAAATTCACCCAAGTACCTTAAAAGAATATGCAGATACAGAAAGGAATCTGCAGCAGAGGACCACGTTAAACATTACTAGAATGCCATTAGCAAAATGCAGACTCAGTGAAAAAAAAAAAAAAAGAAAAAAAGAGAGAGAGAGAGAAAGAGAGATGAAGGAAGATGAAGAAAGAACTTGTACATTAAAAGAGACTTAAGAAACATAACAGCCAATGCAATATTTGAACTTAATTGATTCCCATTTCATTTATTTTTTAGTTTTAGTTTTTATTTTATTTATTTAATTTTTTTGATATGGAGTCTTGCGCTGTTGCCCAGGCTGGAGTACAGTGGTGCCATCTCTGCTCACTGCAACCTCTGCCTCCTGGGTTCAAGTGATTCTCCTACCTCGGCCTTTTGAATAGCAGGGATTGCAGACACACGTCGCCACATCCAGCTAATTTTTGTATTTTTAGTAAAGACAGTTTTTCACCATGTTGACCAGGCTGGTGTCGAACTCCTGAACTTGTGATCTACCTTGGCCTTCCAAAGTGCTGGGATTACAGGCGTGAGCCACCATGCCCGGCCTTGATTCCCATTTCAAACAAACACAAGGTAAAAACAGACAAATGAAAAAAGAAAATTTGGGACATTTTGGAGACAGTTAAAATTTTGAACACTGGCTATATGATGATATTGAAGCCTTCTTATTATTTCTGTTTAGATGTAATAATGGTATCATGATTATATTTTGAAAATATTTCATATCTTGTAGAGATATGTACTGAAATATTTTTGGCTAAAATGATGCATCTAGGAATTGCTTCAAATATGGAGGAGAGTGATTAAAAATCCAGATGAAGCATGAATGGCCATTAGTCGAAGCTTTTTACAGCAGGATGTTAGTTTCATGGAGGAAAGTGAGGTTCATTATGCTTTTTGTTCTACTTCAGTATATGTTTGAAATTTTCCATAATAAAAGTTTGATCTCCCTAGATTTGTGAACTATTCTATTTCTTTTTTCCTCATCCCTTAACACATCTATATACACAGAACTTCCTGTGTAAAATGTGTATTCAGTGTTTATTCCCCAGAGGAGAAGAAGGAAGTAAGACTAGGGTATTTTTGAACTATGTACAAATACAACTGGTTTCAGACCCTTTAATGTGATCTGTACTCATTCTAGACTGAGCCACATGGAAGACCTGTTACTGAGTCAGATCAGCGCGGTTACCCCTAAAAGATGAAAAGACTAAACTAAGACAGTCTTTTTTTTTCTTCTGTGGAAGTACACATGTGTGTTTGCGTGTGTACATGTATGAATGGCTGTCATGTACCTTCGTGCAAGCTGTGCACTGCACAAGGTTGTCGCATCTAAGGGAGCACACTTCACCTCATCAACACATTGTAGATCTATATATTTATTGTGACAACAGTCTTGTAAGTGGCAGTAAAATGTCTTCTTCTAACAAAATTGGTATTTTTGATAACTTTCCAAAAGATGGAAGCAACAATATCTTAAAGTAGGGGCTTCTATTTTAATTATATGCATGTGGTATAGGCTAGCAGTGGACCTGAACTGACTGTCTTGCCTGAGTTTGAATCCCTTCCCCAAACTCACTCACTGACAGTATAATCTTTAATAGCCCTGAGTTCAAGTTTCTTCATCTGTAAAATGGGATGATAATATTATCTACCCTGAGAGGACTTTTCAGAGCATTAAATGCACATAAACAGTATCTGGCCTGCCCATGGGAAGTCTTCGGAAAGTGTTAGAGATTAGCTATTACCATTTCTGTTCACTCAGATCAAATTTTATAGGTGTAAGTGTATGTATGTATGTTGCATTATTCATAAACTCAACTAATAAATTTTGCAGTGGACTGAAGAAAGACTGTCTCCACTATTTTACGAGTTCAAACTATTTTAAAAACAGGAGTTTTCCCTATCAGTTCTGAAAAATGCAAGAAAGCTCAAACTCCAGGTAAGCAGCCAGGGTTTCTAAGCCTCTGTGCGCACAGAAGTTGTGTGCATATGCTAATGAGAAACCCTTTGAAGAAAAATGCTGGGGTTTTTCCATTGCCCTGACTACTTGGTTCGTAAGCCTGTCGCGATGGGAAAAGACCCAGTGGGAGTTGCCAGCCACAAAAGGGGTTTTATCCCACAGGCAGAATAGAGTAAAAATGCCTCAGGAGGTTAAAAGTCAATTTTTAAAAGGAAAGAACACAGAGTATGCTTTTAACTTGATGTTAAAAATAAACTCAGTGAGAGAGTGCGTTTCCCACCCTCTCCGCTGTCCGTCCGTCCCCTGCGCTGCCCTAAAGGAAAGAAAGAGTGCTGTTTCATTTTTATTCTTCTCACGCGCTTTTCTTTCATTATTATTGTTTTAGTCTTAGCCAAACTTGGTTTTCTGTTCACAAAACAAGTTGCATTTTTTTCTTAAAAATTCCTCGGGGATCCCCAAGAAGCAAGACGGATTATCAATCAGAAGTAGCCCGTGTCAGGATGAGTAAAAGATTCTCACCGACATAAGCAACGTGGAGCCCTTACGGCGTCCCTCGTGCCCAGAAAGTATCTGCAGGGGACATTGTTGAGGCAAGACGGCCTTTCATTGAATGCTTTTTCATATTGGGGTTTAAGTACAGCCCCTTCCTGAGGCATGACTAGACGTAGAAACACTACTTAGCTGAGTTGGTTTCAATACATTCCATTAAGCAGCCACAAAATTCCAGTAGATCGGATGTGCCAGTTTTTGTTCATGGAAAAGCAAATCTGTGTAGCAGAAAAGCTGCCAGCTGGAGTGGATAATCTTGATTTCTTATTGTATATACGCAGATGGCAGAGTGATTTCAAGACCCCAGGGGGAGCCAAAGTTGTTGAAGGACAAGGAGACCCAGGCCTGTGCACAGTACTACAATTTCGCTGGCGGAAACTGTAAGAGATGAAGGGGTGGCTGAGGGCTTGAGACCTTGTTTACTTAAAAATATTTTTTTTAAAAAAAAGAGAAAGAAAGACAGCCCTTAGGCAATATAAGATAAAGGAAAAAGCAGCAAAAAATCATTTTAAGAATTAAAGTTCTGCCAGCATTGTGGCAAACACCTGTAATCCTACCACTTTGGGAGGCAGAGTCAGGAGGATCACTTGAGCCCAGGAGTACGCAATATGGTGAAACCCCATCTCTACAAAGATACAAAAATTAGCCGAACATGGTGGCGTGCACCTGTAGTACCAGATACTATGAGCGGGTGGAGGAGGCTGAGTAGGGAGGATAGCTTGATCGGGGCAGAGAGAGACCCTGAAGAAATCAAGAAAGAAAGAATGAGAGAAAGAGGAAGGAAGGAAAGAAGAGAAGAAGGGAGGAAGGGAAGGAGGAAGGGAGGGAAGGAAAGAAAGAGGGGAAAAGGAAAGGAAAGAAGGAAAGAAAGAAAGGAAAAGTTCTAGCTGGATGCGGTGGTTTGTGCCTATAGTCCAGCTATTGGGCAGGCTGAAGCAAGAGGATTGCTGGAGCCCGGGAGTTTGAGGCCAACCTGGGCAAAGAGCAAGACCCCATCTCTTTAAAAACTTAGAAAATAAAGTTCTAGTCTAGGGCTGACCTCTAACTTGCAGCACGACCTCAGTTCACTGATTTTCTTCCCTACTATTTCTTTTTCACAAAATGAGATCCCTCTCTTCTTAGGTACATTCTTTAACAAGAATACATAATTGATAAATAATATAATTGATAAAATATTACATTTGAGTGCTTAAAAAGTGAAAATCACAGTACAAATGCATGCTTAAACACTGTTGAAATTTAATGAAGTGATTTCGACACACATCTAGAAAGTTAGAAGGGAAATTTTGTTACTAAAGGTTGATTTTGAGCCAATTGTTTTCCAGTTCTCATGAAAGTGAAGCACTCTAGTACAAAAGCATGCCTGCGGACTCTAGCACCTCACCCAATATGGCTTGACAAATGAGTAAAGGAAGAATGCCAAGATTTCTAGCCTGCAAAGCTTCACCTCTAGGGAATCTATGGCCTTCTTGCAAGGGATCTTCTAGTTTATAAGCTCACCAGCATAATCTGAAAGCCAGTGAAAATGCTATTTTCACCATATGTATATGCCACCATTTTCTTTTTTTTTTTTTTTTTTTTGAGACAGAGTTTCACTCTTGTTACCCAGGCTGGAGTGCAATGGCGCGATCTTGGCTCACCGCAACCTCCGCCTCCTAGGTTCAGGCAATTCTCCTGCCTCAGCCTCCTGAGTAGCTGGGATTACAGGCACACGCCACCATGCCCAGCTAATTTTTTGTATTTTTAGTAGAGACGGGGTTTCACCATGTTGGCCAGGATGGTCTCGATCTCTTGACCTCGTGATCCACCCGCCTCGGCCTCCCAAAGTGCTGGGATTACAGGCTTGAGCCACCGCGCCCGGCCCCTATGCCACCATTTTCAAATGTATGTAGATGGGTTGTGACTAATAAAATACAATGAACAAATTATAAATTCATCATTTGTATATGTATTATTAAAATAGACTCATTTAAAACATTACTAAAATTGAGTCAATTGTCAACATCTATTTCTTGATCAACCAATTTTAAAATTACAATTTCTTCCAGCTAGAAACTCTGGAGTTTAATATACTACAGCTTTTTGCCATCAATTGATCTCTGCTGGATTAGTTCATTCTAGAAAGTCATGGAACATTGATACTTTGAGTTACTTGAGTGCCAGTAACTCCAAGTGCTTTATTAAAGGAAAGCCAGGAATCAAGATTAAAAACATTTGAGTCAGTAACTATTTATTTACTTATTTGCATTGTCCTGGGAAGGATTAAGGATGGCTTACCAAGATGCATACATTTTAGCAAGATACAATCAGTTAAATAAAAGTGATGGGAGAAAAAGATAGGATAGAGAAATGAGTGGTAGAGCTGTGGTTAGGACATGAAAGGCATTCTGTGAATCCCACATTCTTCTAAGTGCTGGCCTATTTGTCTCTGCCCTTTGTAAGCAGCCAAAGGGAAGAGGACACCATTATTAGATATATAACTTATATTATCTATTAATAAATATACATCAGTGTCTCACAAAAAGCCCACCTCTTTCTGCTGGAAAGATGAGAGAAACTTCAAGAAATAGCAGCATCCCCAACGACATACCAGTTGCAACAGATCAAAAACAGTTTTAGCCCATGTCCTCATGCCAAAGCCAGATTCAGTAACTAATTTTTTACAGATTTTCTCTAATGATGAAAAAGTACTTTCCAACACTCAGTGAAAATGATCTTTTCCCTCTTTGTTAAGTGGGAAAACAGAGGCAGGGGAGTGAATTGCTTTCACTTTATACACCAGGTCAATTGCTAAGATAAAAGTAGAAATGGTTTGTCCTAGCTAGATGTAATTACCTTCAGATGTGCATTTGCAGATTATGTTATGATTATGAAGTGCCCTTAAGAACTCCTTAATGGTGTCATGGTGACCTTTTACTCCATTTCATTTTCTCTTCCAACCCCTTGTTGCAATTTTCCTCACTCTGGCTCTTACCCTCTTGCCTTGGACCACTGAGAACTCAGGAATGTAGAAAACAGATGCTTTCTACAAGGCAGAGGGCCAGGGGAAGCCATCACAGAGATGGATGAAATGGCAGAGCTGGAACACTGGGGCATGCACTGTGGTGATGGCCTGGAATGAGTTTCTGAATTGAGGCTGTGCCTCCAGCACGTCACTGCTGATCAAGAGGTCCAGAAACACGTCTCTGCAACTTACGCTTTCACAGCACCAGCAAATCACCAGGCCATTTAATAATTGATGAAGCAAATATGCACTGAGTATCTTCCAAGGGACCAGGTGCTGAGCCTGTGCTAGGAAATCAAAGGCAAAAAAGGCACAGGTGTGTCCCCATAGAAACTGCAGCTTAGCTGGAAGTCTCCATCACACAGGAATTTTAATATGGCATACACACGTTGCTTCTGATATCAAATTCTTGAGTCCTACTCCCACTTTTCCTATGTCAGTGAGTCAAACTCTTGGCTCTTCGGTTTTATCATCTGTAAAATGGAGATAGCAACTACCTTCCAGAAAAAGAGGCTCGGACAGTGCTAGGCGCAGCTCCCATGCCCAGACCACTGCCTTCTCCTGGGATCCTTATCTCTGTAAGAATGACCAAGATTTACTGTGCTGATGCTATTCCAGGCACTATTCAATGTATTTGAAGTGTTGACTCATTTTCCCTTTATCATAGCCCTATACCAAGGGTATCACTATTATTTCCATTTCACACATCTGAGGAACAGTGACCCAGTGCCTGGCCCCAGGTTCTCAGAGTGGCAGTGTAGATCAATGGTTAAGGGGACACAGTCTGGGGCCAAACTACCTAGACCTGGCAACTTAGAAGTTGTCAGACTTTAGAAAAAGTAATTAACTTCTCTGGGCCTTTCTTCTACCTATTTTCTCTCAATTTGTTCCCCATCTTTACCGCGACTTCTGCAGACTGCATTTTCCCAGGCTCCCGCCAGTGAGTGTCTGGTTAGTTCAGCCAATGGTATGCAGTGGTGGAGCTTAGCAGGTAGGAGAAGAGAAGGTCAGGGTACATCCAAGTGGTAGCAGGTATCAGTGACAGAGCAGGGACACCATCATCGTGGACAAACACTGGGTACTGTTCAGGGTGGCTGTACGGTGGGTGCACCTCCTCTAGAGCTCCAGTTCCTGCTGGGCAGTCCCAGTGCCTCACCTCTGGCGACATCCCCACTTCCCTCTGTCCCTCCAACCTGCAGCAGCAACTTCCTACTGGTTCTCGCGTTGGATTGTGTTGCACCCTCTAGTTGTTTTTTCTGCTCTTGTAGCAGCCCTGGAGTCAAAGTCCTGTGTCAAACTTCCTCTGGTGAACTGCTAGAGTGACAGATGCACTGTGCTTCAACAGTCTCATGTACCAAGTGGAAATAATAATTGTGTCTACCTCATAGGGTTTTTGCAAGATTAAATGAGTTAATAAAGTGCTTGGGACAAAGCATGGCACACAGAGTGACAACTATTCCAGAACACACAGCCAAGTCACCAAAGTCCCTTTCTAGAACTCAGAGAGGAAATCCCCAAAGCCTTTGAGGATGAATAAGAGTCAAGCAGCCGCAGAGAGATGGAAGGACATTCTGGCTGCCTTAGTCCCTTTGTGTTGCTGTAAAGAAACACCTGAGGCTGGGTAATTTATAAAGAAAAGAGATTTCTTTGGCTGATTGTTCTGCAGGTTGTATAGGAAGCGTGGTGCCAGCATCTGCTTCTGGTGAGGTCTTCAGGCTGCTTCCACTCATGGCGGAAAGTGAATGGGAGCTGGTGTGTGCAGAGGTCACATATTGAGAGGGGAAGGAAGCAAGCAGAGAAGGAGGAGCCAGACTCTTCTTAACAACCAGACCTTGTGGGACCTAAGAGTGAGAACTCACTGATTGCCATAAGAATGGCACCATGCCATTCATGAGCCATCCGCCCTCATGACCAAATACCTCCCATGACCCCACCTTCAACACTGGGGTTCAGATTTCAACATGTGATTCAAAGGAGATAAGTATCCAAACTGTATCACAGGCAAAGGGATCAGACAACTAAGTGGCCAAGAGATGAGAGAGAGGAGGGGGCCTTCCAGGAGCGAGGAAGCAGAAGCAGCGCAGGAAGACTGGGGCATGTGGACAGAGCAAGGGGATGGGATGGAGTCAGGGAGAAGGATGAGGCTGGAGAGTACAGAGCTCAGAGTGTGCCTTTTCAGGCATATTGGAGTTCAGACTTTGCCCTGAGGACAATGGGGAACCATTGGAGCATTTTACTGAAGTGACACAATGGAATTTATCTTTTAGAGTGATTTCTTTGGCTGCAATATGGAAAATAGATGGGGTGGAAAGGAGAGAAGAGAGAGCAGCAGGAAGAGTTGTTAGGAAGCCATTGTGAGTGTCTAGGCAAGAGATAATAGCTTGTACTAGAGTAGTGACCCGGGAGAAAAAAAAAATGGAAAGGCTCAAGTTATTCGGGAGGTAAAAGGAACTGGATTGGCATTGGATTGGATATGGGAGGCAGGGGAGAAGATGACATCAAAAATGATGGTCCAGTTTGTGACTTGGGTAAATGTACAACAGCAAGCAGCACAGCCGAGCAGTTAGAAGTGTGGACTCCAGTTTCAACAGCCTGCATTCAAAGTCTGGCTCTGTCCACAGCTAGCTGTTCAACCCTGGGCAAGGCACCGATTCACTGGGTGCCTCAGAGTGTAAGGGGGGGATAATAATTGTATCTTCTGTATAGGGCTCTGGAAAAGGTTAAATGAGGTAAAGTATGTCAAATGCTTGGAACGGGGCCTGGAATATCACAAGCGCAGTAAATCTTGGCCACTATTACAGAGACAAGATCTCAGGAGCAGGCACAGTCTGTGAGGGCGGGAGCATCATGAGCTCAGTTCAGACACACTGAGTTTGAGACATTTAGGAAACCACAGAACAAGTTCTGGGCTGGAGATGTAGATTTCATTCTAGAGCTGCCAGCAGTAGAGATGGTAATTGAAGCCATGGGAATGGATGCGATTGTCCAGGGACTGTAGGTAAAATGAGAATAGATAAGTGCCAAAGGGCACAGCCTGGGAATGTCAACATTTAAGTGACAATTTCGGAAAGAGAAGCCAGGGAGAAAACCAGAGAAAAGCAGTTGGAGAAGCAAGAAGGCAGCCAGCAGTGGTCCTGGTACAGCTGTGATGGGAAGACAATGACAAAACAGCAGGAACTGGAACCGAGGGTTATTGGCGTAGCTTGGGCTCTCCTCGCATCATTCTCTCCAGCTGGGAGTCGTGCGGCAGGAGCAAGAAGCCTGTCTCGGCGCACGTATAAAAGAGCAAGCTCCAAACACCCACGTCTGATCTGTGCTGACCTACAAGCATGAGGTGGCCCATCTTGGCGACTGGAAATGACACCATTCAATTTTTCTGGCCACTATGTTGCACCCCTGATTTCTTCCTTCATATGACAGGCTTCACTCCTACTGAGTCCAAACAACTGCTACAGTTGAGAACAAGTGTGAATCCGGCACCCATCTTCTCCTAGAAATAAGGTGATGTGTCGGTTCCTCGTCTCCTTTCCAATGTCCACAAACCCCTCTGAGTACTTGCAACTTCAATTTTTTGTTGTTGTTGTTATAGACACTGATTCCAGAAGAGTGTTCCATATGCTATGTTTTTAAAAATTCATTTTAATTTTAATTGTTAAGACAGAATCTCACTCTGTCACCCAGGCTGGAGTGCAGTACCACAATCTCAGCTCACTGCAATTTCACCATGTCGCCCAGGCTGGTCTTGAACTCCTGACCTCGAGTGATCCACCCACCTCAGTCTCCCAAAGTGCTGGGATTACAAGCATGAGCCACTGCACCCAGCCCATATGCTAAATTTATTAGAACCCCAAACCTGGCCAAAGGCTTTACTTCTAAGATTCTGGTGGCAATGCCAGCATACAGTGGGCTCAGGTGAGGTCTTCCGATACCAGGAGAATTACTCTAATTCAATGCAGAAATGTTGTGAAACCATTTTATATTCTGTCTAGCACAAGCAAGTGGGGGTTGTTATTTTTATAATCATCACAAAAGCCTTGGACTACATAATTTGGGGAAGTGGTGATAAGAGTGCTTCTCCCTTGAATTCTACCACCCCCAAGCTTTCATTAGCATTCAATTAATTTTCTTAGAAAAGTTCAGCATGAAACTCTCTGCAGAGCTTTGGCACAGTAGTATCTATGCATTTGGAATGACACAGTAATTTCTTATCCTAGGGAAAAACAAAACTACTCTGGCAAAATGAATCTTTGAGCCTAAGATGAATTTGTCCTATTTCTCATTCCTCTTTTCTCAAGGTTATTGGGTTGCTGAACTCCCACGAACCAAAAAGAAAACACTAAGTGGTATCCAAACCAGCCTGGAAGGAGCAGTGAGAAAAGCCAGAACCAAGGCTGATCAGCCTGAATGCTGGTAAATGTTATCAAGGTAACAACTTCTCATGTATCAGTATGTGACCAATAAAAAGGGAGTGTGCTTGATTAACAAAAAGAACCTCCATGAAAAATAAGGCATATTAGCATGATGACTTTATTATACAGCAATAACATAAATGGCAATCCACTCTCGTAGAATATTTGTGTTGAAATTAGGAAATAGCAGCAGATTCAAACACAAGAGCTAATGGAAGCCCTAAATATAGATGATATTCCATCTGGCTGCCAAGAGCCTGCCTCAGCACATTAACCAGAAGACCAAACCAGAGAAGGGAAATAGCTTTTAAAAAGTGCAAAAGAGAAAAGAGATTCACTTAGAATTTTATCTAGTAAAAAAACATCTAGTCATAGGATGAGGAGTCATCTGTTTCATGGACTATTTATGACTCAGATGTTAATTCGGATGCTGTCTTTAAATACATGGAGAGAAGAGAGAAATTTTCTCCCTTTATTTAGATTTGAAAGAGCTTTGTTGAAGCAGGTAACTCACAGCTGGTAAGTGGCATTCAGTTGTTTAAAATAATTTCTACAATTTGGCTTTCATATTTGATACATTTGTGCGATAAACAGAGCTGCTGTTTTGATTCCTCCAAAACCATTTTAAACTCTAGCACCGTGGGGACCATGTACCCTTAGCATTGTGCAAGAGTCATACTTTGCACTAGAGGAACAGCAAGCCTGTGTTTACAAAACATTTTTTTTTCCAGTTTCAGTTTTGCTTATTAACAAAGTGGGTATTTCTCGAGTCAAAATTTCTCCTTTGTTTATGGTTGGAGATCTTGACCCTGATGAAAAAACAAAAATCCACTGATGAATACAGAAAATCACCACCATGCAGAAGTCTCTCTTTATGACAGTCCTGTGGCACACAAAGCCATCATGATTGCCAATGTCCTCACAGAAAGTCAACAACAGCTATTTGCAGTTGACCCAGCTCCTCTGTTTAGGAGATTTTTTGTAGCATAAATAGATTATAGGGTTTGCAAAATGTGCATTTATGGTTGACCCTTACGCTTCTCAGAATCTGTTTGGAGTATTGAGGCATGCTATCCTGGGTGTGTTGATTTTTCTCTGTGCAAACTCTGCTGTAAACCAAGGACAATCAACAGGATGAAGAAAGTTTAATTCAGGACCCTGGCTGATAGAGATTACCTCTGGGTGCGAGGTCAGGGGTGCTTTAGTCCTCCTTGTTAGAATCTCCAGGGAGACCCTAGCTCCCAAATATTAATCAGATCTGTAGAACCCTGCTCAAAACCTTCCAGTGACTCTGAATTACTCTTAAATAAAACTCCTTACCCTAGCTTACAACACACTATACAATCTGACCCCTGTTCAGACCTTACCAAACCTATTATGGGCTGTTTACCCTCAGGCCTCTCACCTTGGCTTGCAGAAGTCTGCCTTCTCCTTCTGTCTTCACATGACCTTTCCTCTGTGTGTAACTGTGTGTAACTCTGTGTGTAACTCTCTTCTTAGAAGAACACCAGTCTTACTGGATGAGGGCCTACCCAGAGGACCTCTTTTTGCCTTAATTACCTCCTTAAAGGCCCCATATTCAAAGACAGTCACATCCTGAGGTACTAAGAGTTGGAACTTCAACATATGAATTTTGGGGGGCTATAATTTGCCTATTCTGCACATTTCATACAAATGGAATCAAACAAAATGCGACCCATCGATTCTGCCTTCTTTCACTTAGCACAGTGCTTTCAAAGTTCATCCAAGTGGTAGCCAGTATCAGTGACAGAGCAGGAGCACCGTCCTCTTGGACAAACACTGCCATTTCAAGTCCCAGCTCCCTTTCTAACCTACGCATTTCAAGGAAATCACTTTCCTTCTAATAACAAGCAGGCAGAAAGAGCTGACAGTAAAACACAGACAAGAGAGCTCGGGCAGAGAAGGTGGGGGGAAATCTCTTGGGTAACTGCCAAACTTCACACTTGTACAATGGACTCCCCGTAAAACAATGAGCCCTAATAAGCACGTTCCTTTCCCTTTAGGTGCACTAAGATAGGGAAGCTAAAAGCAGACTGGATATGCCTGCAGCTGCAAAAAAAATGTATAGGAACAAACACAAAATAAGCAAGACAAAGAAACACAGAAATATTCTGAGCATGTGATAAGCTCTCCTGCCCTAAACCCTTAAACACTCTCAGTCTGTAAGAGAGAGTGCCCCTAACCTAACTCAGCCAGTAGCCCCTCTCAGGTTTATTCTCCAAAATAAACCTGTCTTTAACTGTTAAGCTCCTTTTCATGTTTCTTTCTTCCTTCTTCAACTCTTACTATCAGTACTTTATTCTTTTTTATGACTGAATAGTATTTCAGTATATGGGTCTATCACATTTTATTTATCCATTCCTCAGCTAACAGAGATTTGGATGGTATCCACTTTTTGCCTGTTATAAAAAATGTTGTGATAAACATTTTTGTACAGTTTTTGTATGAACATATGTCTTCAGTTATCTTGAGTATAAACCTAGGAATGGAACATTCTGGGTCATAAACACACATAACTTTGTGTTTCCCTTTTCAAAGGCCCACGAAACTGCTTTCTCCAGCAGCTGCATCATTTTATATTCCCACCACCAATATACGAGGGCAGGGCATGTTTCTAGAGATTAGATAATCACAAACAAAGGGCACTGTCCTTTATAGCATGCTGAAGGTCAAAAGAGAGAGGAAGAGATGTTTGATTAAGGAAGAGATGTTGTATTAGGAATATGAAGGGTTCACAAAGCTGCTTGCTCGTTTTCAGCCATCTTTGTCATGGCATTATGTATTTCACATTTTCACCACATCTTCAGTCTTCACATGAATAGCCTGGGTCTCAAGGCCATCTTTTCCCAACCAGTATAAGCACCTTCAAGACAGCATTCAATATGTGTCATTTTATTTTCTATGCAGTAGGGAAAATTAGGCCTTGCTTTGCCCACTCACCTTTATTCTTGGAAATACACTTTTCAAAAAGTAGGAAGTTCAGTCTTGCTTTAAACCACCAAGCTGCCTGAATGGATTTCATCCATTATTTCAGGTTTTATTTTAAACTCTGCTTTTAATAGGCACAGAAACAATGCATATTTTAAACTTTTGACTCAGGCAAATTTTTTATGTCCAAAAGACTCTCTTGGAAGTTAAGAAGGCATAAGGGGTACCGTGTGTGTGTGTGTGTGTGTGTGTGTGTGTGTGTGTCACAGAATGAGGGGCACATGCTGCCAGTTTAGTAATTAATTATCAACTAACAGAAGGTCTCTACCTACACTGTCTGTGGCAGCCACCACACTGATACCAAACTGCTGTGCCTCCTCAACAGAAAGTAACACAGATCATCATCAATGAATAGACAAAAAACTCTGAATCTATGGTTACATGTGTGCATCTTACAAATGGAGTAACAACAAATAGAGGAAATATATTTACAAATGAAAATGAACCTACATTTATTTACTTCACTAAAACTGGTTTTTTTCTTCTCATCAAAGATTTCTCTATTCATGCTACCCAACATCCCAAAAGAATCAGCATAAGGCCACAAACTTAACAAAATTCCTTCTCCTGTTCATAAAACTCCTGTCCTGTCTCCACATCCTAAATAAACAGGCACGCCTGTGCCCTGCGCCCTGAGGAGTGGTTTCCTAGGCTTTGTCCTTTCAGAGAGCCCATTTCCAAGGACGAGCCATCCATCCACCCAACTTTTCTCAAGGCCACATAGCTACTCTCCAAAGGCAGCCATCCCCAGTGGTTCAGTTGATCCTGACGGCTGCGCTCACAGAGAAAGAGAGAAAGAGAGATGGGAGGGGAAGAGCTCCCAGGAGTCAGGATGCAAGGTGACGCTGGCTGTTGATCTGCAGTCACTCAGCAGCTGGATCAGGTGATGCTCTCTTTCTGTCTTTCTGCAGGCTGTGGGCAGTGGAAGTGTTTTGAGTGGCATTTAAGTATAGCTCCTGTGCAGCATGCCAGCTTCGGCAGGGCATCCTATGACAAGCCCTAAAACGCAGAGGGAAAAGAATAACCAAGTGGAAGTGGGTCATCGTGCCATCTATCAGAGACAATGCACGTGAGAATGCTGCTCCTAAATGAAAGAAAAACTCTTTGTAAACTCAGAGTTTGTGGTTCCCAAACTTGAGCATGTTTCATGTTTTTTATTAAAATGCTGATTTACTTGGCCTTATTTTAGAGGTTGGATTCATTCGGACTGGGGTAGGACCTGAAAATTTGCATTTCTAACAACTTCCCCGAGGATCTGATACTGTGGGTCGGGGGTGGGGGGCGGGTCAAAACTTTGAGAACTACTGGCTAAAACATAGGATCCATATCAGCTAAAGCTATAACGGGTAATCGTAAGCCGTGCCCCTGAGCAGTAAAAGGAGACAATGCTACTGTCTAAAAAGAGAGAAAATAATAAAATATTTAAAAATAACACAATATATAATGCTTGAGTTGCCAGTAGCAAAGTGTTATGATTAGGTCCTTGAAGTCGGAAAAAACAGAGATTAACCAAAACAGACATTTTTGAACAAGTCCTATCCTCTAACTCAACAGAAAGGAAGAGCCCATGTCCGTCATCCCCTCAGTAAACCATTGGCCCTGTAGCACTGGCTTTCCCATAAGGAGTTCCATCTTCTAATTCACACAGAGCAGGGAGAGGATAACAGCTAAGGAAATGCCATCAGTCCTCAGCTGGTCACTGTTTCTACTAATAGTGCCTCGTGTGGGTATAAGGCTTTATGGTTTTGAAAAGCTTTCCAGTCGGTGATCAAAACAATGTGATATGGGTGAAATAATAGACAAATGGACCAACTGAACAGAACAGAGAGCCCAGAAAAAGACCCACCCAAATACAGTCAACTGAGCTTTGACAAAGGAGCAAAGGCAATACAGTGGAGAAAGGACAGTCTTTCCAACAAAGGGTGCTGGAACAACTAGACGTCAGTATGAAGGAAAAAAGTAAAAAGAATCTAAACAAAACCTTACATCTCTTTCACAACAATTACCTCAAAATGGACCAAAGACCTGAAGGTAAAAATGCAAAACTTACTGGTGACAGCCCGAAAGAAGCAAACAATAATTCAGTGACTGCTAGTGCCAGCTATCAAGTTAAGTACTTTTAATAGCTTGTCGCATTAATTCTAAACTCTGTACACAATGTATTATTCCCAAATTACAAATGACAAATTTTTTACTAGTGATAAAACATCATTTTTCTACGTTATTCCTTATAGGATCTGGAGCAGGAGCCTCGCTCCCCTATGAAAAGGAGAAGAATCTGAAGAAAGCACTTCCCTTCCTTCTCTCTACCTGGGGGCAGTGACCTTGAATACAACCACCATCATCCCTTCCAGACACCAGAAGGGGGAGTCCCACAAGGCAGAAGGTGCCTTTGTGACATGTCCTCTTCTCGTCCATGTTCTTTACCTCCTTGCTCGGGAAGCCATAAAGTTGAGCTCAGTAGAAGGTGAATTTCATTGCAAAGTTTACAGACTCCGCTGACAGGTTCATGAAAACACTGCTGACTATATTACATACCGCCAATGCTCACAGCACATCCCATGTTGGAAGTGATACTTTTCCACTGGCAGTTACCCTCTTTTGTCCTAGGAGCTCACTGAACAACTAAAATCAAGTGATATTTTTATGTGGAACATACAACATATTAAGTCCTTTTGCTCAGTGACTCATATAGGAACTCAACAGTACCCAGACTAGAAATCAATGTCAAATTGTTCAAATAAATTCCACTTAAAGAATGGTGGCTCAGGAGGCACTCAGCCAGAAAGAATTCTCCCGTTTACTGTGAAGTAGAAGGGAGGAATGTTTTAACTTTGGTTGGAAAGAACATCTGATGAAATTACATGGAAGGTGATGGAACATCCTCTAAGAAACGGTTCTGATTCACTGTAGGGCATCCCCCTCTCTCCTGCCACATTCCCATTTCACCCACTGAAGAGGTTCTTTCACAAGAGGCTAAGGAAACCAGGCAATATAAAATCTAATTGAAACTGAGTGCTAGAAATTTGTGGGGAGAAATCTGTAATTAAACTGAGCAATTACCTCCAGAAAGTTAACTGGGGCCAACTCCAACACTACTATAAAATTATAAAATGTGCAGCATCTCATTTATTTGTCCCTCTACCTAATTATCTCTCAAATGTAAACCTCTCTTTCTCTCTCTTCTCTCCTCCATAGTTAATAAAACTGTTTGCAAGAAAGGAAAGAATCTTAGGTTAGTCATTTATGCTGTAGTGTGAATTAAAAGCCAGTGTGTCAACTTTCACAGGAATGAGAATTTCGAGCCATTCCTCTAGTTGTAGAATGACTGTCATTGGAATCTTCTAAGAGCATTTCATGGAACAGCTAAATATAAGGAAGAGGAGAGAAACTGCCTAAGTCTGCCTATGCCTAAAGTCAGCCTTAAGTCCAATCTTGAGGGTGAGAGCTTCCAGCTGCCACTCCCAATTGAAATTTGTGAGGAGAAATCCATAACTAATTCCTGGACATTGCATGAGAGTTATAATTTATCCTTTCAGGGATCTACTGTTTTTGTTCTTTTTTAACTTTGATTTTAGGTTGAGGGGTACATGGCCAGGTTTATTATATAGGTAAACGGGGGTTTGTTGTACAGATTATTTTGTTACCCAGGTACTAGGCCTAGTAACCAATTTTTTTTTTTCTGATCCTCTCCCTCCCTTCTCCCACCCTCCACCCTCCAATAGGCCCCAGTGTATGTTGTTCCCCTCT